CTATTGTCTGCCTGTACTGCCTGATCACGAGAACTTCAAAAAGGGGTTTAGTGATAACAATGCGTGATCTCTCAATTTGCATTAGCAAGACACTGAAGGATACTTTGGCATAACAGGGTCAAAGGCACCTCACTATTGACCCCAATAGTTGCGGTCAAATGCAAACGATTTCCACCTTCATGTGGGGAGGTCCTCGTTAGGGAGGAGAGCAACATGATCTGCAGGGAGGTCTTAGAAATGCGTGTTGGTTGAAATGCGCAAAATGCAATAAAAGTGACCCACATGACCGCAAATGACCCAGCCTCTATCGCTCGCTTCAGCATGATGCAAAGGCAATTTTTTACAGGCAATAGTTATTACAGGCCTAGGGAAAGGAAACTAGACTCCTCTCAAAAATCCAGCTTTGTGGTGATGATCGTAATGATAATGATAATTACTCCAAGGTCACATGACCCATCGCATGTTTTAGTTAATCCTACTGTTGGACTCGGCAATACGACAAGGTGATGGAGGTGGCGAAACGATTGTTTTCACATGGCTTTAGCTCTTCTCTGTCCAGTCTACCCATTTACGGGAGCTGTCTGTCCACTTATCCGATTCAGCGTTTGGTCAACTTAGCGACCGACGGGGATTATTGACTTACCACTCTCTGTGAGGTTCAAAAAGTGCGGTCTGTAAAAATGCTGTTCCTCAGATAACTGGCACAACGTGCCGCGTTTCGAGTCCCATGAAGACACCAAGAGAGACTATGCCCCATTTCAATTTCTCTTTTCAAAGGGTTTATGTGACGCTTCAACTTGTCTTTCCCTAACCCACTACTTCAGCACAAAGAGTCTCGTTTAAAAGCCGCATTTTGTTAACTGGATTATCCCAACCTGTAGAGAGCGAAAGGGGCGAAATGTAGACTTTAGGCGACCAAATTAGATAAGGCAATGATGCATCACCGCTATCCAAAAACAACGGGAAGAAACAAACGAAATTCAAAGTAGGGAGAGTAAGAGCCGAAAAAGCTAGCAGTGTCAAGACCATCACAGTAAATGGGGCATCAAAGAGAAAGTCATTCATCAGCTAAGGATCTAATTTGGCATTTGAAGGTATGTAGGAATGTAATTTTAAAACAGGTAATA